TTTTTAATTGTGCCTAACCCCAGCACCCTTGTCTTCCACATGCAAAGCGTGTGAAGGGGGCTTGAGTTCTTGACCCCAGTGCTGAGTTGCAGCTTCGCCTGCGCAACATGTTGCTTCCAAACCTGCCCGACTGTATCGTCTTCACGGCGAAAAAAAGAGAGAGCTCTCCATTCTGTCCAGTCTGATTGCATTAGGAGTCTCTTCGGTCAGCATGGTCTCTGCTTGCAGGTGTTCTACGTGTGGGCATTGCGATAAAAGCACGCGCTTGCCGGCTGCAAGGGGTAGGGTTTCACGGCGTTTGCAAGGGTAGGTGGGTGGGCCTTCTGTGACGATTTAACTTGAGAGACGTGCGTTGTGCATCCAAACACCTTGCTTCCAGTGTCATGTTGGGTTTGTGTGCAGGGTTAAGCGATCGCGGTTCTTAGGGCCACTCTGGGCCCCAAAGTGGCCGTTTAGGGAAGGAGGCGTGTGGACAGTGTCGTGTGTGATGGGACCCTGCCTGGGTCAGTTGACACCATTGTGCGCCCGATCCAAAAATGGGTGTGCCTCGAGTGAACTGTGAAGCGTGTAACACCAAGGCTACAAGTTGCTACAAGCGTGCATTAAGCTTTCTGTCCGACCTAACGGGCGTGTGGGCCAGCTGAGTTTTTGTTGCTTGTTTTGTTCCCATGCTCCTCCTTCGCATTGTTGCGGGATGCGTCCTCACCAACCAGCTGGTGCGACCGTCAGACCACACAATCTGCGCTTGTGCGTGTGTCTTGTTTTGCGCAACAGGTGCTGAGCAAGGCAGCGCGGGCAACGGTCCGCATTCTGGCAGAGGGTCATCCTGCAAGTTCCGGGTTGCTCGAAGTCCAGACCAGCTCCGGGTCCTTCGGGTCGGTGTGTGGGATGAATGCCGAAGCCGCAAGTGTGGCCTGCAGGCAGTTAGGCTTTGATTTCGGTGTGCTAAGTCCTTCCCCATGTGGCCAGTACGGAGGTGGGAGCTGGTGTGGTGCGGCAGGGTCGCCTGTTGCCGTGAAGAGCTTGAAATGCTCGGGGACAGAGATCAGTGTTGATGAGTGCAGCTCAGAACCAGTCGACGACACGTGCGTGAGTCACGGCAGTGATGCTGTGGTGTTCTGTGGTGCACGCTCTGTGGAAGTGTTTCCTGACGGCGAGCTTCGGCTGATTGGATCAGCTGGTGCGCCAGCCCTTCCCGGCGAAGCTGGCCGGCTGGAAATCTTCTTGGCCACTTCTGAGGCCTGGGCTCCGGTCTGCAGGCTTGGATTCACAAGTGGCTCCGCTGCGGTTGCTTGCAAACAAATGGGTTTCACGGGAGCCTCAGGCCATTCAAGTTGCAGCTCCAAGCAGGCGTGTGGAGGAGTGGCGCCGCAGCTGGCAGAGTTGGCTTGCGCCGGGTCGGAGACAAGCGTGCTGCAGTGCCCCATGGCGGTCGGGGACGATGTGTTCTGCGCGCCAGAAGAGTCCGTGCTGTTGACTTGTGCTGGGCCTGGCGACCCTATCGGCAAACCAGCTGTTGCGTGAATGCCGATTGGTTGTG